CAGTTATTTTGGGACGCGCCCTGGTTTATCGCATTTCCAGCTGCTCCACTTCCAGAGCTGCCCCTGGGCCCAGCTCTGGGGCGAAGATGCCGGCCCTGCACATCGAAGATTTGCCAGAAAAGGAAAAGCTGAAGATGGAAGTGGAGCAACTTCGCAAAGAAGTGAAGTTGCAGAGACAACAGGTAAATGGGCTGCCCCAGATTTTTTCCTTCTCCGAGGGCCAGCTTTTCCTGGTTTGTTGCACTAAAACAAGTAGGTGGCGGCTGTCGAGTGTGTGTGTGTGTGTGTGTGGTTTTTGTTGTTGTTTTTGCAGCTGGAAGTAGGGCTTTAGTGGCGCCTGGGAACTGCCAGTTGATGTGGAAATCATAGGAGGTAAAGGAGAGAGCAGGGATCTGATGAGTAATTTAAAGCCAAATGTCAGAACATCTGAGACGCCTAGACTGGGGAAACGGGCAAGAAATTGTGCCTGCTGTTAGTCGGTTTTAAAACCCCAAGCTGTAGGAAGAAGACAGATGGCTGCTTACTTCCTTGATCTTTTTCGTCATGGGAAGGATGGTATCTGAAAGGCCTTTTAAAATCACAATTTAAAGTCCTGAATTACCTAGTTTTGAATTTCACAGGGCTCTTTCCAGAGGTGTTCAGTGAACGGCCCATTGGGGCTTGGAAGCAAAACATTGCAATCTCCATATTTATTTGTAACTCTCATCCCTTTGTAATGTCCGGTTTATAAGTAATGAACGAACACAGTAGTATCGGTTTATTGATAAATACTCACACATATACTGAGATGCTATAAAAATACTGCTGTGTTTAACGGGAAAAAAACAAAGTTACCTGACTCAATGAATAGGCTTGTTTCTTGGATATTTAGGGGACCCATTTGGTGGCTGGCAAAGCCCAGTGGTAGAGCATGTGTTGACCCCTTAGTTTTTTTCACACAATGAAACTTAGAGGTTACATATTAAACAGAGTTGCATATACTAAAGTAAAGCGTTGTTGAAAAGTTGGAACATCCTAATAGCTAGTACCCCTATGCAGAAGTTATAGGGGGAGAAGAAACAAATATCTTCCAGTTATTTAA